CTGATGGGCTTTCCTTTGTATGTGATTTGTTTCTTTTTTCTAATTGCTTGTAGAATTTTGTTCTTCTGCAGGATTTCTGGAATCTTAACTATTATATGTCTAGTTGTAGATTCTTTTTTATCATGGCTGGTTGGAATCCTATATGCCTCACTTATCTGTATGTCAAGCTCTTTTCCCCTGCTTGGGAAGTTTTCTGCCATCACTTCTGTGAAGAGTTTTCTTTATGTCATTTGCACTCTGTCCTGTTTCTTCATTGACTCAGATTAGTCTTATGTTATTCTTCTTTGCATCATCTAGCTGGTGCTGGATTAATTACTCGTGGTCCCTTACAATTTTAAAGAAATTTTTCTTTTCCTGTTCTCTAATTGTAATCCCTTCTTTATATCTGAAATTCTGTCCTCACATTGACTTATTCTGTAGTGTAAACTTTCAGTGGAGTTTTTAATCTCCTGGAAATCTGTTTGCATCTGTTTTATGGATTCCATTTGTTTCCTATGTTGAAATTCCATCATGTTCCTCGGTTCCTCTATTTTTTTTAATCTGTTTCTGCTCTAGATTTATTAATCTTGTCTTTCACTATGGGTACGATCTCTGTTGTTATCTGAGAAATTATTTCTGATTTTATTTTTTCCAGATCCTATTTCGTTGCCAGTTCAGGGAGTCCCTGTGTTTGAGTTTCAGACTGTTCCATCTTGTTTCCCTTTGAGGTTGCTTTAGGTGATCTGGAAGTCTCGTTTTGAGACTTGTTTACATGTCTTCTCATTTCAACAGATGCAGCATGCTGCGTCTTTGATCAGGGGACTTTTTTCTCACCCAGTGGTCTTCAGTTCTCAGCAAGCCACTGAGAGTCCTTTTCTCTTCTGCTCACCCCTATGCCAATTCTTGGGTTCAGAATGGTGGCCTTCTGGATCCCTGAGCTGCCCTGTTGTTCAGGCCTCATTCTGACTGGGGTCTGTGCACACTTGGGATGGTATCTGGGCATGGCTCTGGATGGGGCCTGCCTCACTATGTAGCTGTTGTGTGGGAGGGCCTTTGGCTGAGGGCTGGGCACCCCAGTGGCTGTTGTCTGAATGGACTTCTGGCTGGGGTCTACATGCACTTAGCAATGGTATTGAGGTGGGCCTCTGGCTGCTGCTTGTGTGCCTGTGCAGCTCTTTTCCAGGTGGGCCTTTGGCTGGGCCTGTGGGTCTGAGCGGCTGGGGTTGGTACAAGGCTCTGGCTAGAACCTGCTCACAACCATGCTACTCTGGCCCAGGCAGGCTTCTCCCTAAGATCTATGCACACTTATGGATGGAATCCACTGGTACATTTATTGATGTAAATTATTAGAAGCTTATTTTGTAGAGCTATGACACGCTAAAGCAAAACCTTCCCCAGGGAGCAGGAAATATCCATATGGTGATAGAATTTTCACTTTTCATCTAGTCATTCTGAAATATTTTCTTTCCTTTTTTATTTGTGCCAGGACCTTTATTGGAAAAGCTATAAACTTAAGAAAGAGTTATGACTTGTGCACAACCACAAAAGGAAAAGATAGCAGTGAGCAGACTTTTCACTAGAGATTCCAGAATTCATGGTTTGCAAACATTATCTAGCATTTGCTAATAGGTAGAATGAACACTTGTGGTTGTGAATTGAGTTTGCCCCTTCCTCTTGCCCTCCATCCTCCATCTCTCTTTCTCTTTCTCTCTCCTCTTCTCATTCTTCCCACCTTTGTCTTTGTGTGAGGCTGGTCCACTTCACCCCTCTGAGGTCACAGCAATGAGACCACAGCTGACTCCCCCTCCCAGGGCCAAATCCCTGGTGACTTCTGTGATGTCTTGGTTGGCAGCGGCCCACAGCATGTGAAAACACACACCTGTCAGTGCAGGACAGGTGCGGCCTGGCCCCAAGAGGCACACCCTGTGCTTAAACATGTCTGAGAGCACAGCCGGCCTGGACCTCCCTGCAGAGGTGTGGGCTTGGGGCGTCTGAGCAGGGACCTGCATGGGGAGGATGGAGCCTGCGAGATGCTCACTACCCAGGTAAGAGACCCTGGCAGGGCAGAGCACCCTGTCCGTGACTGACATTGACATGGCCTCATTCACCCAGCACACTCTGGTAAAGCAAAGGAGGACTGAGTAAGACAGGAAAATATCAGACTTTTTCCTTGTTATTTTGCATGTTGGAAAGAATCACATCTGAAATATGGACCTGTGAAAATGTGGATTATTTGTAAAAATCTTTGGGATTCTAATGCAGCAATGGTAAATTCTTTTACAATTTTATTTCACAAATACTCTTCCTTACCTCAGAAACAATTGAAGTAGTGAGAAGATCAAACTAAAATAAAACTCATTATTTTTTCAGTAATAGTTCCAGAAGTAGAGTTTTTGGGTTGTGGAAAAGGGAAAAAATGAAAAACCATGCTTGGTAAAGTACATCTGAAGTGTCTTCCTTTACAATAAAAGGTTTATTCATAAAATACCATTGAGAAGTTAACTATTTTTTCTACATTAATTAGAGGATGAAACATATACATGAATTAGGCATTTAAACTTGAGGAAAAATCGCCATGCTCCCATTTCTCTTATTTTTCCTCAAAATTCTGAGGAACTTTTGCATTGTAAAAGTCATTGTTTTGGAGTCCTTATGTCTGGTTCATTGGTTGGTCATCTTTTCCCTTAAAGGACTAAATTTCAGCTTAAATAAACCTATATCACTCTTGCTTTTTCTGAATTCCTAGCACAAGCTGCTTGTGTCCGGGAAGAAGAACCAATAATATTTTATTTTTTATTAAATGATTGTATATAATATCATAATGAAATTAGTCTTGTTTCTGTTACTTATGGGAAAATGTTATTGGTAAAAGTGCAATAAGGAAACAATGTTTCATGATATATTGAGATACCATAGTGTTGTGGCTTTATTTTATTTTGTTAAAAAGTACTGTGTAGAGCTTTTTGAAAGTCAATCTACAAAAAGGGATTTCTATTCTGTCAAGTTTGAACATAGCAAACAAAATCGCAAATGTTCATAAAAATTTCTTTTTAACAAGCAGTAGGCTGGCAGTTTCCCTTGCTTTGTTTACTTTTTCTTTTGTAATTTTAGGGTAAGACTTTAAGCTCAGAAGTTAATATTAAGTATTGTGTTTGATGTTTCCTTAATAATTCACCAATGCAATAATTTTGAAGTAAATGTGTATATTTTATCCTGACTTCTTATATTTATCTACCAACCATTTAAATATTTTTCTAATGTATGTAACTGTGCAACAGAAGCATGAGAGAATAATACTTATTTCTAGAAGTGGTTCATACTAATTTTTTATACAAATAGAATTCACATCATAAGCTAGGGTGTTAAGTTATAAATTCTTTTATGGATTGTGTTTTCTAAACTAAAATTTAAAACTTCAAATTCTATACAACAAGGTTTTAGAGGGCTTATAATTTTGTATGATGAATTCAAACCCTTAGCAATATTGTGGTAATTTTTAGCTATTCTTAAAGATAATTTCAAGAATTAAAAAGATTTAAAAATCATAAAATCAAGAAGAATGTGATTGCTTTAATAAGGTAATTAGGAGTCTACAATTTCAGTATTTTCAGCCACTTTAAGATTAAAATGGTAAAAACCAAATATTTTGTGCCATGTGGTCTGAACTTTGTAAAGCAACACATTTTCATCCTTACATTTTAGTTTGCTTTGTCTTGATCTCTCAAGTGTAACTTACTTGCATAATACTTACTTGGTACAAATAAAATATCTAAAGAAGAATACTTAGCTGAGAAATTAAATTACCATATTCAGAACCAGTATAACATGTCGTGATAAGATTTCCAATAACACACAGGCATGGAAATAGTTGTGGGGAATAGTGTGGTAAATTGTGAACTATTATTTCAAAGGTGCCTATAATGTCATCACAGTCTTTTCCCTGTCACTTTGGTTGAGGATGTGTTTACAGGTTCATCTTCCTATAGATCAGTGGGTTGCAGACTACTTTTAGATCAAAATTCATTTCCCTGACCTGGTTTCAGATCTCACGAATGCCTGCCATTGGGGATCAGAATTACAAATGAAGCTTCAGGACTGGAAAAACAAATCAGATTCATGTCACACTCGAGGTGAGTCCGTCCCATTATATTCACATTGTAAGAATGAAGGAGAGTAAAGGGTCTGAAATGATGGATTAAACAACGCACACTCTTGTAAGTGAAATTGGTTACCAATGTAAGACTCAAAATCTGTGAACAAAAGATCCTTTCCCGGAATATGAATTCATGAATGAGCTGCTAAATGAAAGGAGAGAAGAGATGAGATTTAGAGAATCTATCATTTTAGTTCATTCCACACCCTTTTTGGACATAGTTCATGTATCATTGTATAATATTTAGGTTATATGTAATTTTCCCTATCATTCTGCTAAGTTCTAAAAACTGTTTTCAACCTTGAAGTGAAATGTGTTTCCTTAATTGAATGTAGTAAGTGGCAAGATAAAAGCATTTGCCATTGCGCACAGAGAAGTTTTAAATAAGAATGCAGTAGTCCTCTGATTATAATTTTTATTTAAGGTAAATGTAAAATAATAGGACCACAGCTCTGGATGATTCTTGAGAGGTTTCTATCCAAGCATCATGTAGATGCATGCACTAATTTCACTAAAATGTTCCTGTTATTCCAGATTACAATTACACAAGCAGATCAAGAATTCTTTCTGTTCTACTTTAATATTGGCTGACTAAATATCAGCCTCTCCTGAAAACTTGTGAGAATGTAGGCGTGGCCTGTAATTCAGAATCAAGATCTGTGGTTTAGAACACAGATTTATGTGATGTCTATGTACAAAAAGAGTGGGAAACAGTGCTCCTAGATCACAGGGAGTTCAATCGCGGATTGGAAATGCAGGATTGCTAGACATCTATAGAAAATTGTCCTCTTGTGACTTTCCTTCATTTACATCATTTCATTTAAAGAGTTTCTTTTAAAAACAACTTAGGGCTCAAAAGACAAAGACAATGAATTCACTTGAACTTAGGAATCTTGCAGAAGTTCAGTTTTGCTTTCCATCAGTCAATAATTCATGTCTTAGAAAGGAGAGGCCCATGCCAATTGTCTACGCCATGTACGTCTTCATAATCTGTTCTATAGTGATGACCATGCTGGGCAACATGGCTGTGATCATTTCCATCGCCCACTTCAAGCAGCTTTACTCCCCAACCAACTTCCTCACTCTCTCCATGGCCACCACTGACTTGCTGGTAAGCTGTGTGGTCATGCCCTTCAGTATGGTCAGGTCCATCGATTCCTGCTGGTACTTCGGAGATCTCTTCTGCAAAGTGCACAGCTGCTGTGACATCATGCTCTGCACCACGTCTATTTTTCACCTCTGCTTCATCTCCATTGACCGCTACTATGCTGTTTGTGACCCTCTGCACTATGTCACCAAAATCACTATGGCTGTCATAGAGTTCTTTCTGCTCATCAGTTGGAGCGGTCCCATGTTTTTTGCCTTTGGCCTGGTCTTCTCGGGATTAAATGTAGTAGGTACAGAAGATTTTATTGCAGCTATTGACTGTACAGATTTGTGTGTGTTGATATTTAACAAGCTCTGGGGGGTGCTGGCCTCCCTTATAGCTTTCTTTATTCCTGGGACAGTCATGGTGGGGATTTACATACACATTTTCACAGTAGCCAGGAAGCATGCCAAGCAAATTGGCACAGGTCCTAGGACAAAACAGGCTGACTCAGAAACCAGAATGAAGGTGACATCCAAAACAGAAAGCAAGGCCACCAAGACTCTAAGCATAGTCATGGGAGTGTTTGTGGTGTGCTGGCTGCCGTTCTTTGTCTTGACAATCATAGACCCTTTCATTGATTTTACAACTCCAGAAGATTTGTCTAATATCTCTCTGTGGCTGGCTTATTCTAATTCTACTTTCAATCCCATTATTTATGGCATGTTTTATCCTTGGTTTCGCAAAGCACTGAAGATTATTGTTACAGGAAAGATCTTCAGGCCTGATTCTTCCACCCTAAACTTGTTTCCTGCCCCTCAGTAAAGAATTTGTACCATTCACTAAGCTTTTTTTCTAATAGGGAATCATGGATGTTCTCTCCCCATCATAGAGGCAAGGGTGGACTAGATGAGCAGATCCTTCCTGATGGGATAATGCAACCTAAGAATGAGCTGATCTAGTCTGCCTGTTATACCTAAGCTACCAGAGTCATCCATATCTGGGCATCTTAGGAAGCCAGACTCAGTACAAAGAAACTCTCTGTAAGGCTTATGGATTTCTGAGTTTTCAACATTGGATTTTAGAATCTCACTCCAATGTTTTAAATGAATCAAGGATTTTCTCACTTCAAGTTTTCAACCCCACAGGGTAATATATAGTTGGATTTTACAATTATTGCCAGCCATGCAGTATATAAGAATTTATCCAAACTCTTGAGATTGCAATTGCTCTGTAGGGGAGTAAGAGGGAGCTTGCAATAATGGAAGCCTGAGTTCTAGGTCATGTGAGTGACAGGAGGAGAGAAAGTGAAGCAGAAAGTCCTAGGTACTTCCAATTTTATTGCTTCTAATTTAAGCTCTTCAGAAAACAATCAAGTTGAAATTTCCACTACTTGATAAAATTAGACTGTGTTTAATCTAGAAGAATGAATAAAGAGCTTAGGAAATTATTCATTCTTTCTCCCAACATGTAGATTAGATGTAGGTGTAAATGTGTCCTGTATGTACACATAGGTAGTGTGAACTGTTTTTTGGCAACTATGAGTGTGTGTTTGTGTACAAAGTGTTTGCTAAATGTTAACATTATTTCTCAAACTGAAGCCTTTTCTCTGTCAGAGATTTAAGATAGTATTTGTTGTCTCAATGAATATCATCTTCCATGTCCTATTTGTCTTTCATTTCTCCTATTGCATAAACTTTTTAAACTAAAATTTACCTCATAATTTTATATGAATCTTTCAAAGTCTTGTAGTAATGGCAGAATAATTGGTTAAATAAAATCTCTCTAACCTTTGGACATGAAACCAGAGCACTGTGATGTTGACGTTTCTGATATTCATGCCCATAAATTCTAAATGAACCTTTCATGACCTCTTTGCTGCCTTGAATCTATCTTTGCTCCAGTGTATCTATTGGGAAACTCCTCATTGTTCCAACACACCTTTAAAAAAGCATCTCAAGTCAGCTGGGACTTTCCCATGATTCTCTTGATTAACATGTTCTGTTGAATATTTCAGATTCCTGAATTAGTATTGGAAATTGGATAATTGGAATATAGCGTATTTATGTCTTGAGAAGTTTCAGTGAATTACTGTTATCACCTGTATTACACAGATACTGCTTTCTCCTTGCTCATGCACAATAACCAAACACACAATGCAGAAGAGGAGAGGTTTAATTTGTTCTTTGCTTTAGCCCATGATTTTTTAGTACCAATGCAGAGACAACAGTGTGGAAAGACCTGGTGGAGTATGTGTGCAGGTCTTGGTGTCCAGGGAGGAGTGCAGCATAGAAATAGCAGCAGTCCAGACAATACCCCCAAAGGCCTCACCATATGACTAACACAGACACGCCCAGGAGTGCTCTAATCATTGCTGGCACAGATCCCAAAGCCAGTCAAATTCAAATTCCGCCATAACCACCACATCCTACCACTTGTCAACTTGATAGTAAAACACATCTCTTACCCTACTTACTCTTCAAAAAGGACAATAGCAAGATCATAGTTCTACTTAACATAATAAAACTATCTAGGGTACAATCAGAAATACAATAAAACTTCTCTAAAGTCTCAACAGTTCCAGCATTTTTCAAAAGTCAAAATCCAAATCTCTTCTGAGAAGCAAGGCAAAAAATTAGCTGTGAACCTCTGTAAAACAAAAACCAATTCACATAATCCTAAGATACAATGCCAAAGGATAAACATTCCAATTGCAATAAGGAAAAATAGCCACATAGAAAGGAATCAGACCAAAGCATGATGGAAACCCAGCATGATAAACATTATGCCTTGTAGCTCCATCACTGGTATCTAGGACACTTGGTGGTAAAATGTGAGTTCCATAGGACTTGCATTGGCCTTACAGGTTGTAGCCCACATGGCCTCTCTCTGGAGGCGGCTCCACTCATGGGCTACAGATTTCCTTGGCCAATGTTCACAAATTAGAATCTCAGTTTTTCTGGTGTGTACACTGCACCTTTGGCTTCCTCCCCATAGCCCCATGTGCTGCACTCTCAGGAACTCCTTTCCTGGCCTTCCATGCCTTCTTTTGAAATCTGTGTGGAAGCCTCCTTGATCCCACAACCCTTGAATTCTGCATGCCAGTAAAACCTGCATAACATGGATGAGGCCAAGGTCTGCTGCCAAATCAAGTAGTAGCTATGTCCTGGATCCTGGCTATAGCACCTGTTGAGGGTCTGATCACCTGAGTACGGAGAAATGAATGCCAGGAGTACAATACCCTAGAGACCCTTTTCAAGAAGGATTCCCAGGGCTCTCTCCTCAAAAGAAAGCTTGATACTTTTGTACTCTTGAAGTTGTAAGTGGTTGGTATCTTGCTGATTTCTGATATGTTTCTAAGGCATTTTTCTTCATAGCCCTGTACAATGTCCTTGGTTTCTTTTTAATGAGGGTAGTCTTGTTAGTAGCAACACCTATACTGATCATAATTGGTTTCTTCTGGGGCAAAATTTACGTTTTCACATTTTTCTGCTCTGCTCTTTGCCCCTGATTCTCATTATAAATTTGGCTAAAAGCAACCAGTAGTTCTCTGTCGGGAGCAATGCTACATAATTTTAGGGAAAAATCATTTGGTGAGCCTAGTTCTCCTGCCTACAGCCCAGCTATGGAATTCCGAGACACAATTCCATTTTGGCCTCCAGTCACAACTGAGACCTCAATGATCCGGTGATGCTGTGATTCTCCAGGACAAGAAACATCCTGGGAGCTGAGAACATCCTGGGAGGAACAAACATCTACTCGGTTCCTCCTTGATCTTGGATTGTTACATCTTATTTACGCAGGAGGTACTGAGCTCTCTGCAAGTCATTTGTTACATCTGTTTCTCCTGATGTACTGAGTACTGAATAAAAGGTGCAGTAAGCTGGGGGCTTTCGTCTTTGCTGCCCAGAGCAGCACTGATCAGACCCAGAGCTCAGCTTCTTCTCAGTCTCATTTTTCTACCTTTCCTGTAAGTTACCTTGTGCTGCCATGGCTCGCAGGAGACTAGGACTTACTGCAGAGGTTCTAGTAACGTCCCCTTTCCCTGTTCCCTACAGTGCCCCAGTCAAAGCCTGAATATTAAGTTGTCTTGTGATTTTATGCCAGATTAATTATTCCACTGCCCTTAATATTATTCTTCCTGAAAAGTCTCACAATAGGCCCAAGATGTTGACACATTTTCTGCCAAAGTATAAATCACATGGCCTCTATTCCAACTGCCCCTGGAGTCCTTGTCTTTAAATGTAGCCAGATGAGCCTGGCCTTTACTATCCACATGTCTATCAGCATTCTGGTCTGAGCTCTATCTAAAGTCAGTCACCTGGCTCTACTATCATTCTTCTCAGGCTTCTCTAGTTAGTGTCTCTAAAACTTTCCAAATCCCTCCCATGAACCAGTTCAAAGTGTTTCTCAATCATGTAGTCAAATACACTCACAGCAGTGCCCAATTTCTATCAATTTTCCGCTAGCTTTCTCATCACTGAGACTAAGTAAATACCCAACTTAAACAAGGAGTGGGTTGGTTATTTCATGCTTTCATTCTGATCAGCTGACACCAAGGCCAGACCTTCATGGCAGGAGTACATAGCAGAGCAAATCTGCTCAGCTCAAGGCGTTCTGAAGCACAATGGAGAATAAGTGTCAGAGAAGAAGTGAGAACCACACACAGATCCCAAGGCCTTGCTTCCATGACCCACCAAGGGACACAGAGAGAAACGCTGAACCAATCCCCAGGTCAGGTCTCAAAGTCAATCAAGTTGAAACGTCACCATAACTAGTGCATTATCAGAGGTTAATATTTAAAATATAAACAGTTTTGAGAGTTCAAACCCTGTTTCATTCTCTTCTGATCGCAGCAATTTAAAGTATTAGGAGATTTTCATCAAACTAATGCTAAAGGCAACTTTGAGGCTAAGGTTCTTCTTTTTGAAAATTCAGAGAATTAGAAGGAGTTTCATAGGGTTTAGGCCAAGATATGTCTCATCACAGATACTGAAGTGGCAATAGTTCATCCCATAACAGCAGGAATATCTTCCAGTTCACTTTCCACAAGGAGCCTCCTTTCTTTTCTGGAAGTTCAATTAAGACATTTGCATTGAGTGCATTCAATAAGAAAGGTACCAATTCATTAATCCCATACTCGTTTTTCTCAGATGATCCTCAAAATAACCAAAATATGTGAGACTATAAAGAATAGGTATCTGAGACCATGGAATGGTCCTGATTTGAAACCAGCATTTTCTTTCATGCAGTAAGAATAAAGCTAAATGGAGGGAAATAGGCAGGTAGGTGCTTCTGTTGGAGTCATAATCATTCCTTACCTTCATAAAGAACTTTTACAATTACAAGTGTATCCGTGAACGTTGGCTCAATTATTTCTCAAAGGAGATCTAAACACACTGCCTAGACAGTTAATTCATGGGGAAAGGTTCTTCTTGTCATTATTTCTCATTCTTCTCTCTCTAGGACTCATCCAGGTTGAGCAGAGTAGCCATTGTTTTAAGAAGATGCTGATTTGTGCCAGTACTTTGACTGTGTATGAAAAGCTCTTTAGATCAAGAAACACTTATTGAGCACTTTCTCTATGTCAAATACTGTTCTTAGTGCTTGTGGTTCAGAGATAAGTAACACTCAAGCCCTGACCTTGAAGAGCTTATGGCTCAATAGCATGAGCCATTCAGTTTCACTAAGTAGTAGTATGTGCTAAGATGGAGCAAAGCACAGGAGCTCTGAGAACATAGATAAGGAAAATTAGCTTTACTTGGTTTTTAGACAAGTCTGTTTGAATTGTAGCTAAAAGGATGTAGCTCAGGTTCAATAAGGGA